CATATGTTTTAAACTTGTCATTTTTCGTTAAAAAATTGACAGTCTGAGTTGGACATTAACATGTTGATTGAGATATGATAAAATTTGATCTCAAAATCTTAAATGACTATTATATCTTAGTCGGTATGTTAACATTCAACTCATATTGTTGTCAATTTTTTAACAATAAAGCATGAATTTAGAATATATAAATAGTCGGGTGATCATTTTGTAACTTTTAATAATCGAAAGACTCAGCAAAACAATATCCTATAGTCGAAGATTATTTTGTAATTTTAATAGTCAAAATACTCAATAAAATAATATTTTATAATGCAGGAGACTATTTGTATACGTTACCCTATTTAATTAAGTTTTTACATTTAAATTATTAAATTAGTAATTTTTATTAATTTCTTATATGTAAATTATTACTTTAATAACTATTACATTAATAATAACATCTAACTATATCAGTTAACTTCAGAGAAAAACTGAGGGGTGGGTAGTCTGAAAACTTTAAATTAGTATATATTTTAAATATTTTATTTATATTTTTAATTAATAATTTATTTTCACTCTTAAATTTAATGAATTCTTTCCTTCCTAAAATTTTAGATGTTCATCCCCTTACACAAAATCATTTGTTTGTCTTGTTTAATTTGATTAATTTTTTCATTTTATAAAATACGAAAATTTAATTTCTCGAATTCATGAGACTCATATATGTCATAATTATTACTTTTAATTTAGATCTATCGGGTTTGATTTTAATTTCATTTATTTAATAAATTGTTTTTATTTCAACATGATTACATAAAAATACAAAGTATTAGTATCAAAATTGGAGGTTTGAAAGTGTACATTTGGTTCTAAAAAACATATGATATTTTTATTTTCATTATAAAATTAGGAAAAAAAATCTGAAAAATGAAAATAAAACCAAGTTAAAATATGAAAATATAAAAAAGGATATTTTCAGCATTAAAATTATTTTGAAAAATAAAAAATATATAAGATCTAGATTTTTAACTTAACTTAAATGAGTTTAAATCCTTCTAACAAAAATTTTTCTAACTTGATGGTATCTGAAACCCTCAAACTTTTATAAAAAAACCAATATGTTCCCTAAATTTATTTTACACTTAAAGTGAACTTTAAACTAAACTTTTTTAATAATTTATATACTTAATGCATTGAATATCTTAATAATTTTTTATATTTTATATTTTAAAGTTAAGTAATTTCTTGTTTTTTTAAGAAAAATTAAATAAGTCCTTCAACTTATTTTTTTAAAATCAATTATGCCCTCGAACATAGTAAAAAAAGCAATTAAACTCATTTATCACATAATCATCCACCGTGTACTATTATAACAACATCGTGAACTATAACATCAATATTATATATTGCCATATAAGCTTCGTGAATTGACATGTAAGCGTTGTGAGCATCAATCCTTAATTCTGTTGGTTAAAAGGTTAAATTGAATTTTCCCTCAATTTAAGAGACACATTAAATGCAAAAAACATTTAGGGACTACACTAGTTTTTTTCCAAAAGTTTGAGGACCTCAATTACTACTAAACATATTTTTTTATTTTAATGATACTTGTGTGCTCTTGCTTACAATAATATTTTTGTTTATTTTTAAAATTAAATTAATGTCCAATATGCATCAATATTATTTTCTTATTATAAACTAAAACAATTCTTGTATTGTGAAATTTCTTATCAACTTTATTGTTTTATATTTGTATAACTCACATATTAAATTTATGAAATAACTTTTTTAATAATTGTAGTTTAATTTAGCTATCTAATAATTATTTTTTAATTACTATTTAATAATTTTTAATAATTTTTAATAATTTTATTTTGATTCAAAGTTTTCATTTATATTAACCAAACATGTTTTCTAATTTTCAAAAAATTGAAAATGAAAAACATTTTCTAAAAACAAAAACAAAAAATGTTTTCTAGAACCAAACGGACCCTTAATATTATAGATTTTTGATTCAATACACCTAATTTATTTAAACAAAAAAATAACTAAAAATATAAATTGTATATATAGTTCTAATATTTAATAAATATTTAATACAAGAATTTTTTAGCAAAAACATATTCATAATTTTTCATAACAAAATTAAAATATAAAAAAAACTATAATCCTAAATGGCTCAATTTCAATTCGTCGTTTAAAATTACGTTTTATTTGTCTACTTTTTCATTCTATAATTTACGAAAAAACGAGTTTAAAACATATGAATAGTATATAATTATTTTATTACTTTTAATAGTCGAGAGACTAAACAAAACAATGTCTTATATTTGAGAGACCATTTTATAATTTTTAAAACTTAAATAATTCAACAAAATAACGCCTTATAATCAGAATATTATACGTAAAATTATAAAATTTGACTGACATAATAAAATATATAAATAAGTATTACAAAATAAAAAAGAAATTATTTTTTTGGTTGCCCTTTTGGTTCTTAAGTTTCGCCCTGATTAATCTGAGTCGTACATCTGGCTTTGGTGGGTGAGTCTCTCAGCGGGATTTTTTACTTACACAATAACTCAACTTAAGACCTACTTAAATTATATCAAACTGCTTATCATTTAAACAAACATTATTATTTTTTTTCTCACGCACTTTTAATATATTTTATGAAAATAGAAGGAAATAATTTTGAAGACAAAAGCAATGGAAGGGGGCCTATGGTTGCAATGATGAGTGGAAGATAGCACAAAGTGATTACATTCCTATGGGTAATGGATAAAAGCTAAATCCTAATTCCATGTGATCCCTCATTCCAACCAACTAAAGATATCATCTGGTCCACCCGGATTAGATAACGGTTTAATTTTTCAAGGCTAAATTATATCATTAGTCATTGAATTTTAGGTTTTACCTCATTTTGGTCTTTAAATTATAAAAAAATAATTTCATAACTAAATTTTACAAATTGTTTTTTATTATCCAGTTAAACCATTAATAACATGATGATTTCATTATTATATTTTTCTTTTACTTTGATCATCATCATTGATTATTGGTCACTGATAACTCCGTAAAAAGATTATATCTAGGGTCTTTTCACTTAAGTTATTGACTCTCTAAGAGTTCATATAGGTTAATATAGATGCATTTAGGAGCATAGAGTTGCATGTGGTGAAAATATATTTTTCGTGGCATTTTATTTTGTAAACGGTGTTGCGTTATGGGGAAGGTGTTTTGTCTAATGATGTGCAGAATTTGGGAGAAGGATAAGTGAGGAGAATTGCCATGATATGCTGAGCAGAATACAAATGCCAACTCGGACGGCATTTCGGAAGCGAAAAAGAAAAGAAATATTTTTAAGAGCCATTTGTCCCTGTCTTCACGCGTCTTCAGCTGCAAGATACCTAAGAGGGAACATCTGACACCTAAGAGGGAACATCTGCCACCTGGGTCGGCTGATCCTGTCACCGCGTATGCCTAGCTGCAAGCTGCCTAGGAGGGGACCACCGCTGCACATGCCTCACCCCTCACGTGAAAGAAACCAGCTCGGGTTATCCTAGGAATTTTAACACAAATTCCTAGGTTTATTCCCCACTATAAATAGGAGATGAAGCCACCAGATTTAAAGAGACTTTTACACACCGTTTTGAGCTTAATTTCAAAAAGAAAAAAAAAAGTCTCTCATTTTTCTGTCATTTGTTTTTTCCGTGGTATTCCTCCATTAACAAGCTAAAGGGAGTGGCAAGCTAGGCGTCCGTGAGGAGCTAGCGAGCTGGGCCAGTTCGTGGTGGTCGAGGGGAGCTCCGGTAGTGCACGTCGAAGGCTTTTCCTCCACCCCTTTGTTGTTTGCTTTCATTTATCTTAGTTGGGTTGTATGGAATGGATTAATTTCATGCCTTGTTGCTTGGATTATTCGAACCCCACCATGAACTAGTCTTATTTGGTGGGAGTTCCTTATGGATACTTAAGTTTTATTTTAACGGATGGTTATTTTTGTATGATGGTATTTGTTTTGCTTATAATACTTAATGCCTTAAGGTTGTAGGAGCTATGAGAGTAGTCATTCTTTAGGAGAATACTTAGTGTTCGAGAGAATGACTAAGTAACATATCTTTAGTGTTAAGAGAAACTAGGGAAATCCACATAAGCAAGGGTTTCTAGATAATAACTAGACATAATCCAACCTTAGACATAAGGCTAGGATTTCAATCGACTAAAAGGTGGAGAGGTTAGATGCTCGTGCTGACGCTGAGTGTATTGTCGTGACATATTATGTTATTTGAACCAATAGAATCTCTGCACCTACTAAAGCCAAGAGATATTGTCATGGCATCATCAACTTATCGAGTACCTTGACTAGAGATAGCATAGGTCACCTTTAGTAAACTCTATCGGAAACTAAGGTATATAAGTAAGACCATCATGAGAAGTTAGACTTAAGTTTCCTAAGTGACTCCTATCATTCATTCCCATAGTAGCTTGTTGTGTGAGGATTCTAAAGTCATTTTAATCAAATATAGTGTATGCATTTCGTTTGCCTTTACATTTTCAATTGATTCAACTACACTCAATTTAGTTTTGCCAAGACATTTACATCTACTTTGCCACGACATCTCCATTTGCTACCATATTATATTACACCGTCGTTCTATTCCCACCAACATCCATTTCATTTTGCCATATCATTCTCATTTGTATATACCATTACTAACTATATTTAGGTAAAGTAAATAATTACTTTGATTGAACATATAAATTTCCTCCAATCCCTGTGGATACGATACTCACTCATCACTGTATTACTTGTTCAATTGTGTATACTTGCACATATTTTCACGACCATATTTAATAGTCACAAATCACGGACAAGTTTTTGACGCCGTTGTCGGGGATTGACAACTGGAAGTTAATTAGTTTTTCATAGCATTTTTATTTTACTTTTTTTTATTTTTTATATATAGTTTTACTTGTTATTTTCCTTGTATTTTTCAGGTTTTTCTTGATGTATGACCATGAGACACTCTAACGAGCCATTAGAACCAATTGAACTTGAGATTGAGAGGCTTTTAGGTAAAGAAAATGTGCTCAACATGCAAACATATATCAAATTAGATATCAAGGTATTGGTCCAGAGGACGATCCAAATACCGAGGCAATTTCAAATACTGGGAATGCAGCTAGGCCTTGTGTCATTCGTGATCACTTAAATCTTATCTTGGATGACTTAAATCCAGGAATTATGGCACCCGAGATTCAGGCAGCCCATTTTGAGCTCAAACTTGTCATGTTCAATATGCTAAATAAAGATGTTATACAACATATTCGTAACTTCTTGGGCGTGTGATATTTTTTCTGACAACAAGGAGTGCACGAAGATGTATTAAAGTTAAAGATATTTCCATATTCTCTGCGTGACCGAGAAAGGGCTTGGTTAAGTGGTGTTCCAGCGGTTTCGATGGAGTCTTAGACTAATCTGTGTAAAAGTTTTTTGTTCTGATACAATTCGTCGAACATGAACACCCAACTAAGGAACGATATCATTTCTTTTCGTCAAGATGATGATGAATCAATATATGAACGTTGGGATCGGTATAAAGAATTGTTTCGCAAATGCTCAAATCATGGTCTTCAAGATTAGACTCAAGTGGTAATGTTCTATAATGGAGTAAATACGCCCACGAGGATGATGCTAGATGCCTCGACAAATGGAAAATTGCTCGATAAATCACGTGCAGAGGCATTCGACATTCTGGATAGGATTGTTAACAATGATTATCAATTCCTACCTACAAGGCTTGGAATTGGGCGAAAATCACATGGGGCATTTGAGTTGGATACTAAGGATTTTGTGTCCACCTAACTTGCTGTTATAACCAATATGTTAAAGAATTTGCAAAGACCAAGTGAGGTGAAAGAAGTGAAGGCAACCAATTCAGCATGTTTATTATGCCATGGCAATCACCATGAGATCGAGTGCCCGACCAATCAGGAATCTATCAACTATGTAGGAAACTACAATCGAGGCAACAACAACTCATATTCTAACACCTATAATCTTGGATGGCGTCAACATCCAAACTTCTCATGGGGAAATCAAGGAACCAGTAATGCTAGTTAGCATGTTCGGCAGCAGAATTTCAATGACTCCCAAGGTTTTCAAACGAATATGCCATGGCATAATTCTAACAAGGGAATGTCATCTTTATCCAACACAAGTTCTTTGGAGGCCACAATACAAGATTTTATAGCAACCACGAAGACCATACTGTAAAACCTTGCGACCTCCATAAAAAACCAAGGAGTTTTGCTTCAAAACCGTAACTCATCTTTGAAGGTGTTGGAGAGTCAAGTTGGTCAAATTATCGCGATATTACAAGAGCGTCAACCAGGTCGTTTGTCGAGTAACACTGAAGTCACTAAACCTCATGGAAAGGAGCAATGCAGTGTACTCACTCTACGGAGTGGCACCCAAATCAATGTACAAGATAAGTTTAGGGGAAGATCGAAGAATGATTTACCCCCTATAACCGTGCAAGCTAAACGTGAAATGCCAGAAGAGACGCAAGTGGAAGACAATAAGGATGAGGGTTCATCTAGTAAAGCAACTGAGGGAGTAAACAAAAATTCCACGACAAATGATGTTCCTATCCCTTTATTGAAGGAAGTTAGACCCCCACCTCCTTTCCCACAAAGACTAAAGAACCATAATGATGACATTCGATTCAAGAAGTTTGTCGACATTCTGGACCAACTCCACATCAATGTTCATTTTCTTGAAGCTATAGAGAAAATGTTGAATATGTTAAATTCCTCAAAGAGATTGTTACCAAGAAAAGAAAAGCTGAGAAGTACGAGATAGTTGCCACGGAAAAAGTGTACTGCTCTGCCTTAAGCAAGTTACCACCAAAAAGATAAGATCCAGGCAGCTTTATCATTCCATGTTCAATAGGAAAAAAATATATTGGGAATGCACTATGTGACCTTGGCTCAAGCATGAACTTAATGCCTAAGTCAATCTTCGTGAAGCTTGGAATAGAAAATACAAAACCCACCTATGTTATCTTGCAACTAGCTGATCGTTCCCACTTTCGTCCCGAGGGGCGAGTCGAGGATGTCATTGTAAAGGTGGAAAAATTTGTGTTTCCAGTTGACTTTCTTATACTGGATTGCGAGGTTGATGCCATGACACCCATAATCTTGGGGAGACCCTTCCTAACTACCGGGCGTATTCTTATCGACTGTGAGAAGGGTGAGCTCACCATGAGAGTGGCTGACCAATGTGTCACTGTTAATGTTTTACATACTCTCAAGTACATGGATGAATCTGAAGAACGCCAGAGCATTTTCGAAGCGGATTCATTGATAGCAGGAGAAGTTGATCAATTTTACCATGACAATTTCATTCAGTTGGAAAATTATGAGAGGCTTATTGAAGAAGAAAGTGTCGATGAGCCAAATGACTTTTCTTTGGAGGTACAGCGGGCTAGCTTTCTCATAGCTAGCCTAGGTACACATTTTGAACCTCTTGATTTCGATGAGTTTGTTCCTCCTAAGCCCAAGTACATGCACAAGATCCTATTGGAAGAATGTCATGGTAAATCCATAGAACCACAAAAAAGATTAAACCCAATCATGAAGAAAGTTATGATGAAAGAAATCCTCAAATGGCTTGATGCTAGAATGATTTACCCCATCTCTAATAGTTCTTGGGTGAGTCTCATCCAATGTGTGCCAAAGTATGGAAGCACGACCGTAGTGACTAGCGAGGACAATGAGTTGTTGCCAATACGCACTGTCATCAGATGGAGGATATGCATGGACTACCGTAAACTAAATAAGGCTACCAAGAATGACCACTTCCCTTTGCCCTTCATTGATTAAATGCTGGATCTATTGGAAGACAAGGCATTTTATTGCTTTTTGGATGACTATTTGGGGTACAATCAAATTTTCATCGCACCAGAGGACTAGGAGAAGACTACGTTCACGTGTCCCTATGACACTTAAGTTTTCTGAAGGATGCCTTTTGGAATCTGTAATGCCCCAACAACCTTTCAACGCTGCATGCAAGCTATATTTTCTGAAATGGTTGAGGATTTTATAGAAATCTTTATGGATGAATTCTCCGTTTCTGGAGATGACTTTGAGAAATGCCTCGACAATTTAGAAAATGTACTCAAGCAATGTGAGGAGGTCAACCTCATGTTGAATTGGGAAAAATGTCACTTCATGGAATCGAAGGCATTGTGCTAGGCCATAAGATCTCTCATAAGGGCATTGAAGTGGATAAAGCCAAAATCAAGGTAATCGAGAAGCTACCCCTACCAACATCTGTCAAGGGCATTAGGAATTTCCTTGGACATGTTGGATTCTATAAAAGATTCATCAAGGACTTCTCCACGATATCCAAGCCCTTATATACCATGTTCAACAAAATTAGCCCTTCGTGTTCGATAAAAATTGTCATGGCACATTAACCGAGTTGAAACAAAGACTTATCTCTGCACCCATCGATATTTCCCCCGATTAGACGTCACCATTTGATCTAATGTGTGATGTGAGTGATTTTAACGTGGGAGTTGTGCTTGGGTAACTCAGAGGTAAAATTTTCCATGTTATATATTATGCTACTTGTACATTGAATAAAGCACAACTGAATTATACTACCATTGAGAAGGAATTACTTGCTGTGATATTTGCATTTTACAAGTTTAGGTTATACTTGATAGGCACCAAAGTTATTGTTCACACTGATCACTCAGCTATAAAATACTTAGTGAACAAGAAAGATTCCAAGCCTAGACTCATTAGGTGGATATTACTACTGCAAGAATTTGACTTAGAGGTGATAGATAGAAAAGGTACTGAAAACTAGGTTGCAGATCATTTATCTAGGCTAGAGAACAATTCTGAATGCCATGACATTTTAGATATTCAATAAGGATTCCCTGATAAGAAAATTTTATATGCCACGACAATTCTGTGGTACGCTGACATAGTCAATTTTCTTGTTAGTGGTATTTTTCCTTATGAATTGAAAAACCAGGGCAGAAGAAGTTCAAGCATAATGACAAATTCTACTTTTGGGACGAGCCATATTTATTCAAACAATGTGTCGATCAAATAATTCGACATTGTGCCTTTGAAGATGAGCAAATAGACATTCTACACCATTGCCACACAGCCCCTTGTGGAAACTATTTCGGAGGTATGAGGATGCTGCTAAGGTCCTCTAATCAGGCTTTTTTTTACCTTCACTTTTCAAGGATGCACATGAGTTTTTCAAAGCGTGTGATTGATGCCAGCGCACTGGGAACATTTCCAGGTGACATGAAATAACATTGCAAAACATTTTGGATATTGAGCTCTTTGACGAGTGGGGTATTGACTTCATGGGACCGTTCCCATCTTCTTTTGGATACTTGTATATCTTGCTTGCAGTAGATTATGTATCTAAGTGGGTTGAAGTAATTGTTACACCGAGGAATGACTCTAAAACTGTGCTCAAGTTCCTTCACAAAAATATCTTCACCCGCACCTAGAGTCATCATTAGTGATGAGGTTACTCATTTTGATAATAAGCTAATTGCCAAGGCATTACAAAGATATGGAATACGACATAAAATTGCCACGGCATATCACCCACAAACCAATAGGCAAGTTAAAGTATCCAACCAGAGATTAAGCAATACTGGAGAATATGGTGAATCTTAGAAGGAATAACTGGTCTCTGAAGCTTAACGAAGTGCTCTAGGCTTCTCGAACGGCATTCAAAACACCTTTGGGAATGTCATCTTTCAAGATGGTATATGGGAAAGCATGCCACCTACTTGTGGAGTTAGAGCATAAGGCATATTGGGCTATCAAGAAGCTTAACTTTGATGCGCAAACTAGCTAGGGAGCAACGATTACTCGATCTGAATGAAATAGAGGAATTTGAGCACAAGCATATAAAAATGTCAAGCTTTACAAAGAAAAAAACCAAGAAGTAGCATGATCGAATGCTTTTACTAAGACATTTTTATATTGGCCAGCATGTGCTCCTTTTCAACTCGAGGCTGAAGCTCTTTCCCGACAAACTAAAGTCACGATGGTCGGAACATTTTGAAGTACACCATGTCTACATTCATGGCGCCATTGATATCAAGAATATAGATGATGGGACTATTTTCAAAGTTAATGGTCAGCGTCTGAAGGCTTATCAAGGAGCTCCACCCTTGCGTGAAAAGTCGGTACTCGTCTTGCAAGATACCAGAATTTGTAGGGCATTTTGAAGATTCATTGACATTTCGGATTTACTCTTGTACATAATAAATTTTATTTTATTATATCTACTTTTCATTCAGTTAATTTTTTCGGTTAATTAAAGTATTTTTAATTTTTAGGGATCCACGCAGAAGGCATGTAAGACCTGTACGGCTAAAGACATGCGAGTGGGCGACACCAAGACAAAATAGGAGGGAATATTTTTACCTTTTGATTTTTTGAATTTTTTAGGGTTTACTTTTTCATTTAATGTTTTTGTCTTTTTCCCCAACCAACACCCCATCCACCCGTTAAATAACCCCATTTTTATTTTTTTATCTTATTTATATCTTTTTACTCTCTCACTTTATCTTCTTATTTTCTTCTTATTTCCTCCTTCAAACCGCACACCATAGTTGAAAAGCTTCAAGCTTTTTCATCTTTTCTTTCTTTTGCCATCCAAACAATGGTGCGCTTACGTCCTCCAAGCATGGATTCATCATCTCCATCGCGTTTCATCGATGAAGCAGTACAAGATCGGTTTCAAGGGCTCAAAAAATATCAGGTTTTCTTTGAGTTAGCCTTCATATTCTCCGACGCTGAAGATGCCGACCTTGGAGGCGATGTTATGGATATTGTTCACCAACACAAGTGGCAAAAATTTGCTAGGCATCTGGGGAACGTGAATACATCTCTTGTGAAGGAGTTTTATACCAACTTAACCGACCCAAATCAACATGTCATGGTGGTTTGTGGTATTTCTATTAGTTTTACCCCATCGGCTATTAATCGTTACTTTAACTTACAGGATATTGTTGATAACCACACCACATTCGCGAAAGAGACAGATAATGAGACTTACCATGGCATAATAGAAGACCTCTATTTTTCAAACATAAAGTGGAATGGACAACAAGCCAGCCGACGAACGGTGGATCGCGAGAGGCTACAACCAAGAGCTAAGTTGTGGAATTATTTTATGATGCACAAGCTTCTCCCCACTGCCCACAACACCACAATCTCACTGCAGAGGATGCTTCTGTTGTACTCTATTTTGGTGGGGTGCTCCATTGACATAGGAAAGATAATTGTGGAACAAGTTTATACTTGTTTGAAGTGACTCGCCAGTGCCTTGGTATTTCTAAATCTCATTATGGTACTCTGTCGTAAGAAGAAGGTGTCAGGGAGCAGTTTGATGAAATATTGCCTGGGTTGTCTGGTATTACAAAGGCCAAATTGTATATGTTTCTTGGATTCAATGAAAATAAGGGCAAGGAAAAAGATGATAGCACCTCTCGCGTTGATGCAAACCAAGATGCCAAGGAAAAACTAGATACTCTAGAGGAGGTCGCTAAGCGAACCCACGACCACATAGAACAGTTGACCAGTATGTAAAGCGTCGGGATTAGTTTGTGGTGAATTCTTTCATGGAGATCTTCATGCACGTTAATCTTGATATCCCAGTCTTCCCTGATACACTCTTGAATCCATTTGCGGATGTCGAGACATCAAAAGATGTTCCCTAGGCCACTAATGATGAGGAACTAGTAGATCCTGATCCATTCCCCTCAGTGCCAACAACCAATGCCAAGAGACTGAGCTCCAGTTCTCAACCTTACCAGCACCCCTGCAACCCACAGAGCCACTTGGGGACGTACAATCATAAATGCCACAGTAAATCCCCCCTGCGAAGGAGTTGACGCCATTTGAAGAAGGCATCTCGACGTGAGGAGCCTAAATTTCCCCCGATCCCTGAAGGTCTTAGGACCCCCTACTATACCACCATCAGATTTTGAATACTCCAGCCCCACACCATTGCTTAAGTGCCTACGTCGCACGGCTGCCACACCACCACCAGCATAAGTAGTCAAGGTACATTACATTACATTGCATAGTATGTAGTCTAGTTTTACTTAGTTTTTATTTAACATTGAGGACAATGATTCTCTTAAGTTTGGGGGAGGTAGGTTCTCAACTCATTGCATGATAGTATTAGTATAATGAATATGTCATGACATTAGTAAGTGTTCGAACTAGTTTTCCGAAATAAACAAATGATGCCTGATGATGATGAACTCTTTATGGCTATAATTGAATGCACATGACTGTTGAGGATGATAGAACCAACTCTAGGACTTTCTTCTTTGTAACTTTTTGATACACGATTGTATGTTTTCCATGCTTAAGGAACTTAGAATTTTTTTTATAAGAGAACTCTTTCATGTCTTGGCATAAAACTTTGATAATGTCCTTGAATAATTAAAACCCCACATGTTCTAAAAAATGAATTAAAAATGAAATGAATAATGATGGAAAAAAATGAAATTGCAATAAATGCTTCGGCATAACTGTA